TGGTATAAGTTATTGGGAAACGTTCCCCTTCGCGCATCGCATATGCTTATGCTTATGAATACTCTCTCTCAACTACTTATTGCTCCTCCCCTCCCCCCCGCCCAAGCTGATGACCTATTACTGAGATACGCCTCATCCTGTGCGGTGACACCAACTCGTACTGTAATGTTGTGACCTCGTTTGCAAAACCTGGTTTCATTAACGATGATGGGAACAGTTTCCCTGCGCCAACCACGTGTACAATGATTACGCCACACGATGTATGATGATGGAGGTGTGCATCTGGTATGGTCGGGTCCATCCCCGGATTATCCTCTCTCTCCCCTTTCAACCTATCACGATGTTCCATGAAGGGGCGTGAGATGATTGGGGTATCCTTAGCGGCGCCGTCACGTCGCACGTTGGCTGTTCAACGACGACAGATTCTGAACGGTGGGTATTGATGCTTAACTCATTTATAGAACTCAGGCGGCAAGTGGGTCCGGAAAGCTGTAGGATTGTATCTCATACCCGTTCCATTCAAAGGGAAGGTACCTATATATCTGTCAGAAGTGCGCAGTAAAAACGTTTTTTACATGCTCTCTGTTCATTATAGCTGTTGATCATGCTGTTGATTATTTCTATGGGTCGCCGTTAAGGCTGTTTCAAACTCACGCCCCTTCGTATAAATAAACCTATGGGTTCGATGAACTTCGATAACTTGACTCAACCCAGCCTTCATCAACGTAACTATCTCTCTTCGACTCTGATGCACGGAAAGATCGCAAGCCAACTATATGCATGGGAGCTGTACACACTCGGTCGAGGCCGCGCTCTGTGGATTCCAGAACCAAATAATGAGCTAACACCCGAATACCGTCAGACTGGGATACGAATTGGTGATGTCGGCATCTTGAGGTCAGACGGTAGTTTTGACTTCATGTTCAACGTCTGCTGTTCCGCCGACGACGAGGTCAACCGATTGAACTATGGGGTGCCCGACGACTTCGAACAGCTCCAATGGAATGGCAGGAAACGTAGGACTGCAAATATTTTCCCGCCCGGAGAAGTTGTATTAAGCCGTGGTGCAAAGAAGAAAACATTGGATGTCGAAAGCACAGCTTCTGTACCGTAAGTTGTCCTTTCTTTTTGTTGAGGTGTACTTGGCTTTACTCTTTCATTTAGAGGTATGCCGGCAGGAGGAGGTGCAGGGTTTAGAATCTCCTTTTCCAAGGATCGAGGCGGGCTCATTTTCGTCCCTAATGGAGCTGATAGCGTTGACTGTCAAAGTCTCGCGGTCTTCCGCAAGTACGCCGAACGGCATGCTGCTAGTTGGTATAGGTTCGTGAATGAGACTCTTGAAATGGAAGTAGAGAATGGGGCTCTCTATCTCGTCACTGGATTGGACAAAACCGACTGCTGGGAAAATGGAGTTTTCAGCCACGACCACAAGGAAAGAATGTTTGAGGTGACCGTCAATGTTGGCGGCTTGGCAGGCGGCCGTTTCCATTCATCAGGTTCTTCACTGTACGAAGCATTTGCGACCAGATGTTCCCCGGTTAACAATGTGGACCACAACCAAGCCTTGTTCATTCGAGGTTTTCGGGTAACCATGCATCACAAGCTCAAAACGAAAGTTTTCGGAGGATCGCCTGTGGAAGTCACAAGCACCGATGATTTATTATGGAAAGACATGCACGCAAAGAAGAATTCGTACTTCACCTTCAGTCGTGGAAGTTATACTTCGTGGGGATCAAGATCACCTTCATCTACATCGGATTCATCTCGGGGAACATCATCATCATCATCTTCTTCTGGTTACTCTGATCTATCAGATGAGTCTAAATCATCCGATGGGGAGTACGATAGCGATACCAGCCTAGAGGACGACGACATTGATCCACTGTCAGGGGTTCGTACACAATCGCTCGGTTAATTTTTTATGGCTAACCCAGCAAGAATTTATCAGATTTATGATCCCTTGCAGGTCGTCACTCAATACATCTTGCAGTCTATAAAGGATCGAGACGACGTCGAAACAATTCTCACTCACGAAGAGGACCTGTTTGCATTGTTGACTGACGAGGTTAGTTCACTCAACTTTCAGTCCGAGACATGGAATTTTGAACAGCGCCACAGGATATTGAGATGCCCGACGAACGGGAACTTCTCAGAAGGCTAAAAAGATTGTTCCGTGTGACGGTGAAAGACGGTGGGTTATTCTTGAGCCATTCAAAAAAATGACATTGACTTCAGCTCTCCGTCGCTCTACAGGTCGTGTATATCTGGAACGAGTGGTGGTCGATGATTCATCCCATCATCTCGTCGATATGGACGTCGATACTGATTCCGAGCAGGAATTCAGCTTGGATCTTGATTCTCGGCCCGGCGCCCATGACCCGGGACCAAACACCGCCCCGACCATAAGCTTCAATAAACCCGAGCACACGTTCTCTGTCCCCTGCAGCTCGTCTCAGCGGGCTTGTGATGTCGATGGTTCAAGTTTAGGCACGAGGTTGTCGTGGGGTCCCATTTTTTCTCCTGACCAGTCCCCGTCAATACAAAACACCGTCGTTGACGATTACCAGATCCACGATCATTTTGTGAATTCTTTCGAAGAGTAGGTTTGATCTGCATTTCCTATCCATCTCCATCTCAGTGGCTTACACGATGTATTTTAGCCTTGATATGCACAACCAAGGATGGGACTCCGAGCAAAGATTCAACTTATGTTCCGATATTGACTCTCCAGTCGATGTTCATAGTTCAGGATCAAACACCACCTCGGACACAGGTGTCAAAAAACCCGCCATTGCGTTCCCCGTTCCTTCTGTTGCCTCTATTCCTCCTCCTCAGGAGGCACGCGACGCCGATGATTTATTCATTAAGCGGAGACCGAGATTACCAACCAGGCCCGTCGGTTTCAAGATCGATGCCTACACCACCGCTTCAAAGATTCCCATGAATGTCCTGGATGCACTTTCGAGTCATCCCGTTGACACCAACTGTATTTTGCCCACGTTACTCAAAGCATTAAACACTGAGCGCGTCTCTTCTCTTCCTTCCCACGATCAGTTATGGATCGTATGTCAGTCCATTTCTGGCGTAGAGCTTGTCCTTTCCTGCACAGAAAACGTCCTTGGGACAAACCCTATCTTCATTGTCAACCTCTGCCCGTTGTCTATTGCTTCTCTCCGACCTCGCATTCAAGAGATGGTCCAGCAACTCTCGAGAATCACTGTTTTGCGACGGGTTTACAGCGTGTTTGCCCCAGATGATATTGCGGAATTATTCGCCGAAGCATGGACAAGAGAGACTGGCATTCAAAAATATTGTGAGCCTTACTATGCAGCAAAGCTCTCTTACTGTACCCGGATGACCCTCACCGGTCACGACGGAGAGCCCAATCACTACCTCCGTCCCGCTGAGGACAGTGACCTGGACGCCATTGCCCAACTATGTTTCGCGTTCGCAAGCGACTCCGAACCTTTCTTTCTTAGCAAAGATGACGCCTACACGGAAGCTGAGTACCTTATCCAAGATAAGTTGATTTGGATCCACTCCGTACCAGGTAGCACGAGAGTTGCCTCCATTGTTGCGTTCACTAGAAACTGCGAGACCAACGCGACTATCACCAAGGTCTTCACCAACCCCAGCTATCGTGGACAGGGGTATGCTCAACGACTGGTTCGTCGCGTTACCGAGCACTTACTATACTCGATGAACAAAAATTCCGTTGCACTCTACGTAGCACACGATAACGGAGCCGCTTCGAGGTTCTATCACAATGTTGGTTTTGTTGGACTCGATGAATCCGATCGTGCCGGTCATTTGGCTACTTCATGGAAAGAGATTGGTTTTGACCGCCGGGAGGTTGACCTTGGTCACTGGTAGAAGAATAATTCCATGTTCAAAATTTTATTTTGTTTTGTTTTTTCAGCCTTTTCTTTCTCCCTTTCCCTGCCAACGAGCGCATACTACATAGTATACCTCAAGACGGACTGGTCAACCTAACTATATTCATCAGATAACACCCTCCCAGTATGTATTATTATCTCTCATCTCACTAGACGTGTAGTAGACAAAATGCAGTACCTTGCTTCTTACTTACAAATAATATTGACGCTTCAATCAAATTACTAAGTGCTTTGACCATCATCGCCGCGGGCAGTGACGTACTCAGCAGAACGGTCTCAGGTAATAGTAAGATTAAAATGTGAGTTTTCTCTTTATTCCCCGGAAAAAGAAATCCCCCTAACTTCCAGCATGCAGAATCAGTGTTCACAATACGGGATGGGTCCCAGTAGGTCCACTATCGCAGCTTCGAAGCACACATGGACAGCGGCCCTGAATGGCCCGAAATGAATTACTCTCCTTTTGTGATACTACCACCCATTCCGACGGATCAATCGAAATCTTGAATATTAACGTTAACTAGCCTGGCCAAACTCGAGCCATACACAGCAATTGGGCCTATTCCGGCTACTATCGCGTTAGTAATGGCATACCCTGTTCATGAAATGGGTAACGATGTCCCTACAAACCGGGTTCTGTGGCAAACTCAATGCTGGTAAGTTTCTGAAATTCTTAATCTAGAGAATAGTATCACTTAATTACTACTGAAAAAGGGTGTATGACATTCGCTGCACTTTCTTATTTCTCCACTTCAAGTTCTAGCTGCTACCTGTTCACAGCTCACTTCAAAATCCTAACCCCAATGCCCCCGGATCTGCTTCTGAGTGTTGATGGTTCCCCGACACCGTAAGTTCTTCAAACTTTGACAGTCACACATCTCAACGCATTCTCTCCCATCGTGATCCATGCATTTCAGCCTCAATTTCAATGTGCCGATCTCCTTCCACTACACGGATGACTCTACTAATGGTGCTTCTTGCAAACTCTGTAAGTTATAGGCTGAAATCTTCATTCCGATACATATGGTATGCCTGGTACAGTCGAAGTTGACTGTTATACGGAGTTGCAATTCTCATAGAATATTTTTGATTACCCCCTACAACGAAGCCCGCCTAGCTCAATCGGATAGAGCGTCAGACTCTTATGCGGGCATCTGAAGGCTGCGAGTTCGACCCTCGCGGTGGGCTATTTATCCTCAATACCTTGGATATTTTTGCCCACAAATGCAGCATTTAAATTTGTTTGCTCTAATCAAGGGCACAACGAGCCCAACGCTGTCGTTGTTGGTCGAACTACAGAGTCGTACTTTTGGCATACACTAGTGGCCCACGGGCGTCCGCTCTAAGACCCCGCTACCACGTCGCGTGAAGCTGAATGAGATGAACGGGAAACGAGCCGCCTAATGATTACAGAAGCTTCAAGTGGTTAGCAGGCGGCTGGTCCGTTTTGTTATTCACCTTTTCTCTCACGGAAGCCCGAGAAGCGACTTTACTACATACTCAAACCACGGTCCAGTTCTTCTTCTCATGACGGACCAGAGATCAACGATTTGTGGGAAACGGTGCTCCACTCATCGTCACTTCGGAGGCACGGAACCCTCGAAATAAATAGATTTTGACAGTTTAACAGAATTTCAAGTTTGGAAGTTTGACAGCTCACCTTTTCCTCCTCCGAAACTCTCGTGCGTTCGCGAGATGTATCGGATGTGAAAGCAGTTGGGAGGACTAAGCGAACCGCCAACTTTGATCTACACGAATTAAATGACCAGGGTTTCAAAGTTTTCTCGTGTCGGTAGCGTCAGTAGCTGTTACAGGAACTTCCCGAGTCGGAACAGTAGATCAAATAAGCTACGAAAGAGTACAAACCCATCACGCCTCAAATTACCCTGCAGAAACAAAAAACGACGGCTCTGTTACTTTTACTCTATCAATCAAATGTATGCCCGGAGTGAAATCAAGTGTCAATAGGCGTATTTCAACCGGTGTATTTTACGGCTACTATAACGATGATAGAGGAAAGATTGATCGCTAGGTCAAGATATTGCATGACGCTGAGAATTGAGATCTCCGGTTTGGATGGACTGTGCAACGGGAGAGACTTGATATTTCTTTGAATGTCATGAAGTGGCGTTCAGTGAAATCTATGAATAACGCCACTCCACCAAAGATGCTCTTATTGCAAGCCGGCTTCGCTTGGAGATGGCCTCGCGGATGTGGAGAATATGTCCATAACCGGTTTGCGGAAAAGAAGATCAAGTAACCTGGATCCCGCAAGTACGTGATGCTTCTTTTGGTGTATATATGAGAAACGAAAAACCATCCAGAAGAGCCCGGTTATTCCATTCCCTTTGCTCTTCGACCTGCATTCTTTTCATCGTTGAAAATGGCGGATCAGCTAGGAATCCCCCCCAATATATCACATATGTAAGTCCCTGCTTCGACTCGATCGATTGGAACCATAGAACCAGGCTGATAAGCTTTTGGAACTATTCTTCCATAGTACGGGGCCTTTGGTACGCTTGCCGGGTTACTGACCACTACGATAACTCTGAAAAGGCTCATCGTTAAGCTTCTCGGGTTTCTCTTGAACTACGGGTTCTATGGCGTCCTGACCGTTCAGACATGTCGGTAATCCAATTCGAAAGTACTTGAAAGTGGGCTCACCCTCATTCCATGAAGATATTTACTATACTGCCTTTCCGGACGATAGGATCGTACCCAAAACACTCGTTTACTCAACCTTCATCGCGGAGACCGTCCAGACAGTAATGATAACCTACGATGCATTCCAAGATTTTGGATTTGGGTTCGGCAATGTGGGTGTGCTGGATAGAATGAATTTGCTATGGTTCGATTGTTGTATCATGGATGGGTTAGGTGAGTGCCGGCTTTTGAGGACATGAGAAAAGGTGACTGAGTTGAGCATAGTGGCGTTCATCGTACAAGGGTATTTCGCGTACAGGATTCATCTGTTATCGAAGTCAAAAACGATTGCTGGGCTTGTCCTCCTTGTATGAATATCTCCTCTCCATTTCCGCGAATGTAGCTCATGCAATTTTCCTTCAGATGGCCTTAGCACAAGTATCGGGAGCTATCGCGACGGGAGTAATAGCAAAAAATGTAGGCGCGTTTTCCAGGATCCGAGAGCCTTGCTTTATTCCTGCATTGGTGAGCTGTTATTCAAATTTTCGATAGGGTTCCAAATGACTTACCGCAAATAGTTTTGGCTAGGCGGAAGTGCGGCTTGCGACGTGACAATAGCTATAGCCATGACCTATGTGGTTAGTCGTACGAGATGCAGATCGAAATTCATGGAGCCTCACCTCGACGATATAGCTTTCTCAATTGAACAATGCCTTTAGCGAGACTCGGGATCTGGTGAAGCGTGTTATTCGGCTGACTATGGAGACCGGAAGCCTGACTGGTAGGTTGCAGATCCTTCTCTATCCCCCGCAAAACCAACGTAATGACAATCTTTATAGCCGCATTTGCCGCTATCGACTTGATTCTATTCCTCGTCTACCCAACTCAAGACTACCACATCACTCCTGCCCTCGCTCTTGCGAAGGTCTACTCAAACTCACTCCTTGTCGTGTTCAACAGCCGTGTACGAATTCAAGGTGGACGTGGTACCCACCTTGAAGGATCCAAAGGAAATCAGAGTGTTGGAACCAGTGTTGATTTGTATTCGGCTCGGAACTTGGGGATGAGTGTACGGTGTGATGTCGAAGAGTCGGTTTGGGCAGATCCTATGCCGTTGAAGAATACGGCGAGCGTATGTCGCTTGACCCGGTTCTTTTTACTTGAGGTTGATTGATTTTTTACTTTTTACAGGCCCATCCTGCGAAACGTCAGTCTAGTAGCTCCGCAAGGGTTCTGGATGGGAGATACCTCAACGTTGTACCGGATTCAAGTTTGGATACGCCGCCGAGGTGAACATTGGGAGCCCAGTTGAAGTAGACTGTAAAAACTTGTTGTAGTCGTGTAAAATGAGTTCAATACTCGTGAAATAAATCAAGAAAGAAACACACCATTTGTATAATCGTCGTGGACGTTGTACATAGATGTGGCGCTGGGAGGGGTAGATACGAGCTGACAGCCTTGGGTAGACCAAGGTGAACCTCGGTTCGGTGCCGGACATCTTACATAAGAGATATCTATAGCGGCGCAGATTCCCACACTTCGACTGATCCATTGAATCTCCGTTCCAACCGTTCAATTCGCCTTTCGTGCACGTACGATGAGGATTCTGGAGGAAGGGCTTGATATCACTTAATGTCGGTCAGGAAAAGGGAGACACGCAACAGATATCCACAGTGAGCGACCCGATAGTACTCGACGCATGCAGCCTCAATACTCATTTTTTTTTTCCGTATCATACAGAGTTCTGGCTTGAAGCCAACGGTTCGCGGGATAAATCACATCGAGAAAGGATCACTGAAGCCTCAATCTGCACAACGAAATTGCACGATTTCTTAGTTCTCAATCAAAAAAAAGACTGGAACGGATTCGGGCTTTTTCGAGGCCCAGTTTGTCGCGGTTGATGCGACACATCATTCAGCATTTCTGAGCTCTAGAGTTGAAGCGCTGTCCAGCACGCGTGCTTTTGTTTCTACATTGGTGAGAGTGGGTTTCCTTGTGACCTTCAACGATAGAGCTCACATGGCCTCCGAGTTCCGTTCTTTCGAGGACCACGAGATGAGGTTCAGGGGTCGATATCCTCGCATCTCTATGTTCCGGAAGGACGATCTTAGCTACTTTCTTATATGCTATGGACATGACGTTATTTTGATATTCAAGACCTCACCCAATGGTTCGCATTTGCCGATACGAATATACGTCTGTCAATCACTCAACCTCAGTTCCTGAGCGCTATCCATTTCGTTAAGTTATTCCAGACACCAAACCTTTGTCACCTGCCTGCGACCACTTGAACCAAAGGTACAAGTTCCCTTCATAACTGCCTAGTTTGCACAATGTTCGACGGAATTTCAGACGCATGACGATGACCTGTTGCTTATCGAAGGGGGAGGAGATGCGGAGGATCAAGTCAAGCGAGCTGATCACACGGGCTGAGCTGAGCTTCGGCGGCGCAGGTTCCTGAGCCAAGGTATCCTCCTAATCCATATATTATCCAAAACCAGCGCGTAGAGTATTTACTTGAACGTAAGTTACAGAAACTGATATCTATCTAATTAGACGCAAATAGGCAATTGACTTTAAGAAGCGCTTAATCTATGGTGCGGATGCGGATTTCCGCGAAAACGGAGGGCCATTTCATAACCTCATAGCTTCTCTCAACGTATCGAGCTGGTGCGCTAAAAAAGAAAAGAAAATGTTCGGTTGTGAACCCCAGTTCCTGGTAAGAAACATCGGTTACTTACCCATGAAAGGGGAGTGTGATTGAAACCCTTCCATTGTGGCCATCAATGCATTTAACATACCCAGCAGCTCACCCTCTCTCTCCACGCCCGGTGATGGTCTTGATATAGAGCGGGGTCGTATCCTTCCAATCTCCTTCACAAGGACGTTACCAACGATACCCCAGACAAGTCCAAAGACCGCATCTAGAATGGGAAGCCTAGCGATTTCGGGATGTTGTCGAATGCCATCAATGGTTGGAAGCAGTCCAATCGCCACTCCAGCTACAGCTAGAGACTTGCTACTCGAGCGACCGTCTGTATCGTAGAACACCGAATGGAGTTGAATTGCGGCGGCGTAGGTTAAGGTATGTGTCAAAACTGCGAGTTGGATTGTCGAGGGCGATCCGTGTAGAGGAACGGGTGGGAGGCTGGACGCAAAGCTGTCTATAAGACGGTCTGTGTGATGGAAACCTAACAGAAATGTCTGTCTATCGGACGAACTCATATCTTGGATTTACAAAAAAAAAATCATAAGACGCGTTTCGAGGTTGCTAAACTCTAAAATGATACTCACTATTGGGAGACGAAGTGGCGAGAGACGTCGCACGGGCGAAAAGAATCGTAGCTTTAGAATACATCGCGAGTCCTGATGTTCCTTGATCGGATCCGGACGAGCTTGCAAGGAAATTTTTCACTGTCGAATGACTGATAAATCCCGTCGGAATTCCGTTCTTTTTATTAAAGGGCACGTTGTATCAGCTTCGGAAAAAAACTTATGCAATTGGGGATTCCAAATAGGGGGCGTACTTGTTCGTAATCTAACAT